TGTTGTGGTTTGGCCATTTAGTTCCTAAATAATCATGACATGCACCCACACGTTGTAAGGCGCCACGTTAGGAGTTTGTGAAATGCATCGTGAGTATGCTGTGATCGCAAAAGACACATGCTCAGTGCAGGCCAGGAGATGATTTCTATATGGATTTGGAACAAATTATAAATTTCTCCCCAAAGACTTATTTTAGTAATAAAGTGTCTTTTTTAACTACGGTTAAGATTAGTTGGCAAAGCTTGAGAATCAATCACAAATGACAGCGCAGAGAAACAGGAAAAAGACTTCCTTGTGACGCATAATTTTAAAAGGGCTAAAAAATAATCAAGTGATTATTTAATTAATTATTATTAATTATGATTAATAAGCAACATGAAGGGTAAACAACAACAAGAGGGTTTCTGAAACTCCCATCCCTCTAACTACGAACATTTGCGGCTGTGACTCTCCTGGACGACGCACTGTGAGAGAAGCCTGAACAGAAGCTCGGTGCGTGCGGCCCAGGAGCCAAGCAGGCCGGGCTGAGGGTAAAGGACCTTTTAGCTATAAATCGTTACTAACGCAGAAGTAGAACAGATTAAACCACTGGAATATGACTTATTTAACAACGGCGTTAAAGAGATGAGACTATAGTTTTTTTTCATTTTGACCCATGATTTTATGTTTTCATCTGACGGTTTAAAAAGTAGGTGAAAAGTCTTTACAGAATTTTAGCTGGTTTTTTTTTTGGGGGGGGGAGCGGGGTGTGGAATAATTGTGCAGCTTCTCGAACTCAGAGAGCCCTTCAGAGCCATACTGGAACTTTTGAAGGACAAAGCAGCTCTAAGGGTAGTGAGTTTCGGCCACCTTCGTGTAGGATGGATCAGCCTCTCGAATTTAACATTCGAGCTCTATTTCATTTCTTCTTGAGATGGAACCCCTTCAAAAGTGTGTTCAGTATTTATGTTCACCGCTAATAATACCTCAAACCTATGCGGCATTTGTCTCGTTCTACTGTTTCTACAGAATTCTTTCTCCTTCTGAGAATGAAAAACAGCTTTCTGGCTCCACCTAGTGGTAGAAAATCGGTTATCCTTTTTTTTTTTTTTTCCTTTTCCTCGGAACTCAGGTTTCCATTTTGATGTCAGATGACATGAAAAGCTGAGAGAGTTGTTTTTCAGGAGTAAGACAGGCCTCTTCCTGGTAGACTGACACATCGTAACCTTGTGTTTTATTACTTCTTCTATCTCGAGTTCTTGAATACTTTTCTTTCTAGATAAGATAACCACACCCCTGCTCCGGCCTTCTCTGCAGACCCGTGGGAATAAAAGTTCATGCAAAGGTGTGTTAGCTAGTTCTTCTGTAGCCTCACCTGTTCGGGAAGCTTCTGTTCACTTTAATATGCTCTCTTCACCCCATAAATTACAATTATGTTTCCAATGACACAGAATACGATTTATCGAAATCATTTCTTTGACCCACACTGATAACTAGGTTCCTGATGCTGATAGTCAGGGCAAGAAACCCCAAGATTGTTTACTTTTAAAATAAACTGAAAGTCCGAGATCATTGTGGATTAGTGCAATTCGTGTCTGTTTATAGAAAAGTACCCTGTAAAGAATGGAAATATCTGCCTGAAATCAAGCTGGCATGAAATTGGTAAAATACTGGACTATGAAATTTTATAAAATGTTCATTTTAAATAGATTTAAATCTTTAGGTCACTTTTTATTTTTTAATCTAATTTTAATCAACATAATGAGATGATATATTTCCTTATCTTCTTTAAAATGGAGTATCAATAGAGCATTTCGTTATTATTGTATATTCGTTTCAGGTGTACAGCAAAGTGGTTAGACATTTATATAATTTACGAAGTGGTCCCTGATTAGCCTAGTACCCACCTGGCATGATAGTTATTGCAATATCATTGACTCTCTTCCCTATGCTGTCCTTTACGTCCCTGTGACTATTCCGTAACTGCCAATTTATACTTCTTAATCCCTTCACCTTTTAACCCAGCCTCCCAAATCCCCTCCCATCTAGCCGTCACCAGTTTGGTTTCTATGAGTAAAATTTTAACTCTTCAAGTATAAATCTAAATGACATCTTTTCCCTAAGGCAAACATTTCCATCTAGTCCCACATAAACCCTTTTTTTACATGGTGAACAATGGATTTTATACGAAAGATTCTTCATTCCCGTTGATGTGAAAATAATTTAGTTTCATAATAAAAATAAATATAGACGAGCAACTAATTTGGCAATCCATGTTAATGTGGATGAATCTGAAACTGATCACTGTTTAGAATTGAAGAGAACAAAACGTACTAGCAAAACTGAATCCAGTAATTACAGTGCAGAGGTGTTTAAGACAACAAACGTAATATTGCAAAAGAAGTGGATTCCCGCTAACGATCGCATTTTATAACCTTTACGGCTTCTTATCATGATTACTCTTCTTGCGTTTGTTGTTTGGTGGCACCTTATATGCATGCAGAAAACATAGATGTAAAAATCAAATTTTACTTTCTAAAACTTACTAGTATGTGTTTTATAAAAAACATACATCTTCGCGAAGAAGTAGGAAGTTGTCAGCACACTAAGGTTTTATGCTTTTTTTTTTAATACAAGCTACGTTACTGAACACCTTTCTGAAACAGAATCAGAGTATGTCATACAATTAGACTTTGAGTTATTGCATTTGTAACAGGAAATTCTGGCCTATTTTTTCTTGTTTTGGTAAAATTTAATGTGAGGTAACTTTTAAAAAACAAAGCTATGTAAGGGTTTTTTTACTTCATTTAGAGGCCTGTATTAAAATACATTTCTGCAAAGAGCGGTCCCAAGTACATACTCATTAGCGACCGTCCTCGTTCTTCTTGGCTGACTGTGTTGAAACAGGAAGCTGGTACGTGACTTAATTTGTTCTCTGGCAGTAAGCACCCATTGACAGTGAAAGTGTAATCACAGATTAATGAGGAATGTGTGACTCGCTTTTGAAAGAAAAATATCAGTTATCACAATGGATTTATGCACTATTCAAAAATTGACTGGAAAGGTGATATTTTTAACTTGGGAACTATCAACAGAATAGAACGCACTTTTTTTTTATTTAAACCAGTACTTACTATATCAAAAGGGACTTTTCATGTTGTCCCAGGACTGGTGACTACAACCCAAGACCGAGGAGAAAGCGATGTCAGGTTGCCCGTTTTCTAATCTCCTCACCTTGCTGTAGAAAGAGAAAGCAGGAGGGGGCAGACAGAGCAGCCTCCAGCCACCCTCCCTCTAATCAAAAGAATTAACTCTAGTCATGGGGCAGAGTGGTGTCTGCCCGAAGTGGGCACCAGCATCCCACCTCCCAGGCAGACGTCTGCTCGTGCCGTTTTCTGGGCTCGTTTGAACCCTTTGACTCTCCCATGCCTGGTTTCCTAACGCTCAGCAATGGCTTTGAAGATGCGACCTGTCCTCCCGGAACCCCATCGGGAGCCGCTGGCCACCGGGGAGGAAACCCGAGAAGCTCCGGGCTGTCGGGTGTGCCACTGAGAACCGAGAGAGGAAGGTGGGAGAGAGTTTCTTCCTTGCCAGTGATAAGAGAGGCTCAAACCGCACGCCCCGCTAAGAGTTTTCAAGCGTCTCTACAAGACTCTTTCCTAGAGGATGCTGATGACCAGTTAGAGCCACTCCCGGGAACAGCCACCCCGCAGGGACAAGGACGATAAGCCTGAGTCGGTGAGAGTAGAGTTTCAAAGCAGATAGGGCTGCGCCTTTTGATAACTGAACTTGACTTGAAAGAAACAGGTCTGTCCCAGAGTCCTTAGAGACAGGTGTGGGAGATCCCACCCAGCGTGGCTGGCAGCTCCAGGCCCTGAGGACACTGTCATCGAGTTTGTGACTTATTTACTATGCTAGACACCGTTCTTCCTTTCTCCTAAGCGATTCTCTATAGCCTTTCCTTACGACTTTCCTTTCTTTAAATTTCAAATATTTTCTAAGACACTTGTTTAGTGTTTCGAATGCAGAGAAAAGCGGACACAAGCTTCTTTTCCTTCTAGGCTATTATTTTTAACATAAAGGTGGACATAAACCTACCCAAGAAGGATTCATTACTATTCCATTATCAGTCAGTATAGCGGACCAGCCTCAAAAGCGTACGAAGTAGGCTACAGACTGTTTTGCAGGTGGGGTTATACCTTGAGCTAACAGTAAGTAAACGTGCAAGCTGACTACTTTGCCTAACTGGTCATTCGATTAGTGTGAACACATTCGACAATTTCACTAACTGGCTTTTCATCATTTTCACTAAGCTCTCCACTGTGTGCTTTTCGTCTCTAATATCTTTTGTTTTTACTGCTGCTGAGGTTAAATTCATTTCACGTCCATTAATGATCACGGAACTCAGTGATTTTTTCCCCTGATTCTAATGATCACAAAAAAACTATCTTTTCTTAATTGTTACATATCTGGAAAGAAGTCACTGCTGTGATATAGACAGAAATTGAGTATATTTTCTATGAAATCAAATTGATGAGTTGACATGTATACATTTATGATTTTAAGTACAAAACAAAACCAGTTCGCTCCAGGAGCCAAGCAGGTATCATAAATGAGACAAAATGGGCCACATCACCGGGTGTGTAAAACACGCTTTGTACACAGGGTGTGTGTGGCTGGAGGGACAACAGAGACAGAAAACCAAACGCTCTGTCTCCTTGGTGCCCGGTCAGAATCATGTCTTCATGGCCTGAGCTGGAAAAACTACTTCCAGGAATCTGGTATTTCTCCAGCTTGGACCCTGTGTTCGTTTTTAAATGTTTGTAGTAACTGGATCTGCAAATCTGCCACCGCTGAGGGCCCGACACAGGTACCTCTGGGAGCTGGGCTTGTTGGTTCTCGCGGCTGGTTCTCAGATCGCGTCTGACAGCTGCTGTGGGATTTTTTGGTTTCTTTTTTTTAGCCACGTTCACTGTGTGTTTCCCTTCGCGTGTGTGTATGTGTGTGTGTGTCTGTAGCAGGGAAGGCCAGCAGTCGCCGGAGCAGTGGCAGAAGACATACGGCAGATGCTCTGGGAACGAAGTTTACCATATTACTTTGGAAGAAAGTACTTTCTTTGCTGAATACGAAGGGAAGAGTTTTACCTACGCCTCGTTCCATGCGCACAAAAAGTACGTTTCTGCTTCCAGAGTGGAATTAAAATATGACCCAATCGTGCTTTTGAAACAAGTTTTCGAAAATACAATCCATCGGGGTGCTCGTGAGTTGCAAGTGTTCTGGACTTTTCCACGTGATTATTGAGACATGTGAATTCTGGCCTCCTGGGCGGTCGCTACAAGATTATCAAGTGTCAAGTATCATTTAGTAGAAACGCTTTAGTAACTTTTAAATTATCTTCAAAAATATCGTAATCTATTAGGAATTCACAAATGCATAAAAATTAGTCTTTATAGAGTTAAATTTTATAGTGTTGATTAAAAATGTAAACAAAGTAATAATAACATTTATAAAAACTAGACGTTTTTGAAGACTAGAACTTTGGCTAGAGAAATATGTTAAAAAATAAATGATAGTTCTTCCTAATTTAAATATAAAACAATTTTTTTCCTTCTTTTTGAAAAATTTACTTAATAAAAACATATGCCTGTCGTAAAAATAATAATATAGTATCAGTATTATAAAGATATTAATATAACATTTTTAGGATTTGTAATTTATCTAATATATTCCACTAATCCAATATCCAATATATTCTACTCCAATTCTCAATATGGTTCTATTTACACATATACTTCTGATGTTTAAAAACTATTCTTAAGCTTGATTTATTTGTAACACTGTAAGACATACCGAAACAAAAATATTCAGGATATTTTGTTTTTAGAGAATATTCTGAAAAAGTATTTGACTTTTTAAAGTAACGTTTGTTACATTCAGTGGTTATTTCTCCTAATTAAGCTGCATATCTATTCGAGACTATTAAAAAAATTTTTTCTGAAATTTAGAATAAACCAAATATGGTAAAAACAGAACATAAATAAATGTAGGGACGCTGATTCTTTCTCATGTGACTTTAGGTAAGCTTCTTTCTCTCCTATAGGCCAATGGCCTTCAAACTCTTTTTGACTAAGAAGAACTATTTTACCTTTTCTGACCTAAGATACAGAGATGTACATTTGTGGTTAAGATCCAGCACACACACAAAATTTACAAAACAATTCTTACCCTTATTATATGGCATATACTCAGGTATTTTTCTACTCTCATCGAGTATTCAAATGTATACACTCATGTACATGTATGTATACATGTCATAATCAACGAAACTGATTTCACAACATACTAAGGACATAGCTTTCCTATAAAAAACAAGAGTCTTGAACTTTTAGGATGCTTTCGAAGATGCTCAGATTTGGGGCTCTGATTTTCCTCTGCCTTACACTAGTTTACTGATTTTCTTACGTATGCAAACTTAAGAAAACGAAACTGAGACTTTTGGAATGACAATTCCTAAACGCTATTTTCTTTTTTATGCTTAGGTTTGGTGTCTGCTTGATTGGTGTTAGAAGGGAGGACAATAAAAACATTTTACTAAATCCTGGTCCTCGATACATTATGAATGCTACGGATATATGTTTTTATATTAATATTACCAAAGAAGAGAATTCAGCATTTAAAAACCAAGACCAGCAGAAGAAAAGCAAAGTATCGAGGTCATTTTATCACGGGCCTTCTAGATTACCTGTACATAGCATAATTGCCAGCATGGGTAAGTATCAGTAAATTTGAAAATACCATTTGCTTCTTTCTCAAAAAGAATATATTCTTATTAAAATGTCAGTGTCAAATTAAGACCATACTTGTGCATATTAAAAATTTGGTATAACTAAGTATACAGGACAAAATTTCTAAGCTGTCGAATTGGTAAGAAATGAAGCTAATTCAAATCTGCCGACGATTTGATTTCTGATTAGAATATAAGTACCTGACCCAGCTTTATTTCTCTCGTAAGTTCTCCATTCAGTGATCAACATCTCTTTCTCTGACACGAAATTTAAAAAAAGATCCAGGCAAATAAGCTTCTTAAGATTTTGCCACCGACCTACAAACCTAGAGACATTTAATTTCTATCACAAGGGAAAGGTTCTCTCTTTTGACTAGTATTAACGCCTCCACGTGTGCTATGGACCCATCTCTTTTTCCTTCTCAGGGACTTTATTCTTTAATTCGTCCTCATCATCTAACTTTTTTTTTTTTAAACACATATTCCTGTCTCACTGACTCTACACACACACACGCACACACACGCACACACACACGCACACTGGACTGACATCTTCATAGATACATTTCTCAAGAGCTGTCTTTAGTGGCTGGCTTGCAACCTGATCGTGCCCTCACATCTCCACCCAGTTTAATCCGACATCCCTGCAACAGAGCACAAAGAGACAGGGCGGGGGTTGCGGGAGGAAGTGTGAAGGGCAAGGACAGGAAGTCGAGTAAGAGAGTGAAGACCGTGATGGATGATGGGACTTCGTTTAGGTAAAGAAGTCACAGACACCCGTTGGTTGAAGGAGACTGAAAAGGCAGTGGTTTCACTGATGATAATTCCAGCTGGAAAGAGGAGGTAAATGTTACGTGTCACAGAAAGAGATGCCAGAAGTAGGCGCGATGTACAGTAGGCAGTCATTACAAAATCCAGGGCGTGACCTTGCCTTGAATGGCCTTACTCCATTTAGAATTGCTAGTCTTCCTTCCTCGAGGTTTTCCCATGGCTCGTGTGGGCGTTCAGGTCAAAAGTCGATTGTCGTGACTCAGAACGGCCCTCCTTCCCACCCGGTGACCAGCTCCTTCCTCCTCCCGCTCCCTAACGCCCCTGCTGTTTATCACATCCTTCTGTTTTATTTTCTGCAAGGTATGTATCGTTATCTAAAATGCCTTTTTCCATTTGTCTACTTGATTATTTTAAAGATAAATCCAAATGTGTAGAAACCCCGTCTTGTCCCGAGTAGCCCAAGTTTCTAGAATCGCACTTGCCATATTGTAGGTACTCGATAAATATGTGTTGGATAAATATAAAATATTAATGGTTCTAATATAATAGATCAATAAGACGATGATAATGCAACAAAATGGGGGCAAAGATATAATGAGGAATCCAGAGATGGAAATGGCCGGGAATTTTTTTTGTTAATTTTAAATAAACGTACGTTGAAACAGGTAGTTTCCTCTCCATTTTAAAGTCCTAAATATTTCAGGATTTCACAGATCACGTTTCAAGTTGTAGAGCCAGACTCATCAAACACATCTTTGCACACAGAGAGAAGTTTTGTATTCTACTGGGCAAAAAAATGCCCACGTGAAAAAGAAGTAAATAACCTTTGAGATGAGAGGATAAACGATAATACATTTCCCGGTTATACTCACTGCCTTTCATTTCACTCCGATCGTTAAGTGACTGATACGTCGAAACGGTGGCGAGTGCCGTGGTGATTTTCGCGTTTCTCTTTTTTAGGTACCGTGGCTATAGACCTGCAAGACACGAGCTGCCGGTCGGCGAGCGGCCCCACGCTGTCCCTTCCCGCAGAGGGGATCAAAGAGGTCAGAAGACCCAGCATCGCTCCTGTGTTAGAGGTGGCAGATACGTCATCCATCCAAACATGCGATCTTCTAAGTGATCAGTCGGAAGACGAAACTACAGCTGATGAACACGTTTCCTCAAACTTAGAGTACGTTTAGATGCTCTAGGTTGTAAGATTTGCTGGGATCTGTGCTTGCTACAGAAGGAATCCTATGAATTTCCATCAAAAACAGCCTTCCTACTAGCCAGAGTCACTCTTGACTAGAGAGGATGCTCAGCCCACAAATCTCTGACTTTGACATATATTTCCAGGCTGTTTCCTCTCAATTACCTTTTATCGTTAAAGAAAAAAATAACGTAAATTAGTATTTCCATGACGTAAAGCTGCGTTTTCATATTTGTAGGGTTTGGTTAAATTATATGGTACTTTCTACCTTTAATCCATTTTCTTCCATGTTCGTATTGAAATTCGACCCGTTATTCAATGACATGTAGAATAGCTGCTTCCGATAACTCCCTTTCTCAGCTCGGTGTTCAGCTGCCTTTTTCATACGTTATGTCCCGATCGCATTTTGAATGCATGAGTAAATGTGCTAGTTCTTTTTACTTAGCTTCCATAGTAAATAGCACCAACGTACGTGCTATTGATCAATTTTAGCTTTCAGTAGTTTATGTATCATATTCACATATTCCACTTCTGTTTCTTGAGCGAAGCACAGGGGTCAACAGCCTGGACGATGGAATCTGAAAGAATCTGTTTCCCATGGCATCTCACCTTACGGGGCTTCTGTGCAAGCGCTTTGATTAAACAGTCCGACCCACAATGTCTTTACCTGCAAACAGTATAATTATTGCCTTATAATGTTCATATGAAGATGCACTGAGATAATAAAGAAAATGTGCTTAGGACAATGCTTTAGTGCAGAGGAAGCATTCGAGAGTATTAATTACTATAAGTAGCAACGGAAACATCAAACACGTCTCCTAATATTTTTTTCATGCAATAGATGTCCGATTCAAAATCAATAGCACTCAAATATATTTATACAATGTTTGATAAGAACGAGGAGAGGTTTGACCACCAGGATTCTTCTAGAAATGCTGTGGGGTGTGATTGAAACTCTGTACAATATACTTCTAAAGAGATTAAGAGGTAGAGATTATTTCTGGGAAAGTAAAAATAAGTGTAAAAGTGGAGGTCACCAACTTCTAAATTTGCAAAACAAGCCCATCTTACCTTCCTAGTTAACGAGGTCCGGAAAAATTTCAGCCGAGTTGGAAATTTCTTGGTTTAGAAAGTAAATTTTTTTTTATCAAAAAGACCTTGTTCGTATTGGACAAAGAAATTTTGCCACCACTAAATTTTCTTGTATTCCTTAATTTTGATTCATGCTGCTACTTTTAAATAGTTTCATTTTAAAAATTAGCGCAGCTAAAATGTGCAGGTGGCTATTTTTATAATGTCAGCAAACTGAGTATCTTTGGTAATATTTTCAGCATGATTCTAGCAAAATCTCTTTTCGGTGGGGGTTTATCAAAATGAGTAACTCAAGATTTGTGCCTTTTTAGTTCCACATTTATGACTAATGAAGATAATGTGAATCATAATGCATTTTGCTTTGAATATGTTTTCTAAAATTAACATTATTATTATTTTTTTTTAATCTACCTAAATCTTTTAAACTGAGGGTTGGCAAACTTTTTTGGAAACAAACCAGCTAGTAAATATTTTAGACTTTACGGGCCACGTGGCCTTTGCTGTTACTCAAGTCTGTTTTTGAAGCGTGGAAGCACCCACAGACAACCCCCTAAATGAATGAGCGAAGCTGTTCTAAAAAAAATTTACTTTTGGATACCGAAATTTGAATTTTGTACAATTTTCACGTGACATGAAATAGTATTCTTCTTTTGATGCTTCTTCCAACCACTTAAAGACATGAAAAGTTTTTTTCATTCACAAAACCAGGTGATGGGCCAGATTTGGTCCACAGTTACGAGTTTGCCTCCCCCGCCCCCCATTCTAATCTATTTCCTTATCAAAATGAAATTGCAACACAGAAAGTCACTGCACCTAACTTTATCAAAGTAGAGGAACACGGCCGTAACGTAATTGTCTGACTCTGCGCGTGTCATTCAAGGCGATTATTTCACATTGTTTTGCAGATACGCTAAAGGCTACCCACCATACTCGCCATACATAGGAAGTTCACCCACTTTTTGTCACCTCCTTCATGAAAAAGTGCCATTTTGCTGCTTAAGGCTAGACAAGGTAAGCCCTTGCTACTGTCTTTTTTTTCTGCAAAATTGAAATTATGGTATTTTATAATTATATATATTTAAGTAATTTTGTACAGCCTGATTAAAATGTGTTTAAAGAATGTTACCTTTTTGAATGTAAATGCGTTACATAAAGTGGTGAATTTTACTTTCTTCACTGTACTAAGATGAACCAAAACCTCCACAGCTCTCTGAAGAGTACCCGAGGAGCATGTCAGTCAGTTTCCCAAAGAGGAAAAGCAGGTGTCAGTCTCGCAAATCTATGGACGCTTGACCCCCGGTGTCCCCAAATCACTTGGCCAAATGTGCACTGTTTTTTTTTTAACTGGGCATTTTTGCCAAAATTGTAATCTGGAGTTGCTTGACATGGTCAAATTATTCAGTGCATGTGTTAGCTGCAAAGATTCGTTATTGACAGACTGCAAGTTTATATCAGTGTCTGGTTTATTAATATCTCCTTTCGTAAAGGTTTTACCATAGTTCCTGGTTCCTGCCTGGATGTTCTAGAGAAGGCGCCTAAAACGAAGTTTCTAAAAACGCAGAAATTTTCATCTCTTTCACAATATGGTCCTTGGGCTTGACCTGCTTCAGAATTTATTCTCCTCATAAATAAAAAAGCCAATAAAAAGAAGATTCTTAATCCCACCCCCATCCCAAGTTAAAATGTGCCAATAATCTAACCAAGATTTTTTTTTTACTCTAAATTTAGAAATAGCCAGAGTTAAAATCCCAGCTCTCCGCTCACAGCTTGTACAATTTGGGCAAATAACGTCACCGCCCTTAAATTTCAGATTCCACGCCTGCAAAATGGCTGTAATTTTTAAATGAACCTCATAAGGCTCTCTTGAGGATTATATAAATTAGCACAGGCCGAAAGCTTACACAGTGGCAGAACCTAATAAACGAGCAGGCACTTAACACATTTCATTAATATTCTTGCTGTTCTTTTTCCTACGATAAACATTACGAATCGTGGCCATCGCTGTCACTCTTGAGGAAGAGCGACAGATCACAGGACTTCTGCCTTTGTCTTCCTCAAGTCGCTTCGTGAATCTTGGCGTATTCCATCCCTCGATGCCTTGTCTCTTTCTCAGCCTTCTATCAGGTCCGTGCTCGGCCGCATGTCACCGCCAGCTGTGTATTTCTGCTGACACGAACGAACCGTTAGCGCTGGGCCCTTCCAAGACTCCATGACTAATTTTTGATTTATAACAGTTTTGCTCTTTTCCCCAAAGAGGATTTCCAAAATAATATCATCTGCAGGCCCCACAGAACCTGGATTCACATCTGGTGGCATCTTACTTTTCAGTACACAATGAAAGAGAGAGGGAAAAAAAAAAAACAGGAAATGAGTCACCCCCAAGCAGGGAACCTGACAACAATGGGAGCCTAAACTCCCGGGCCGAGCATCCGTGGGGAGCCCTCGGGGTCTGTGAAGGCCAAACGCGGCCTCTCCTCGCCTCAGGCTGTTTCCGAGAACTGCAGAGTGGCTGGTGACATCTGGGAGTGCCCGTAATCCAGGCGGCATCGGGCTGGCAAGGAGGTGGCCGGCTGTGTGAAGGAGCGTCCCTGTGGCCATCGGGGCGGGACCGTGCGGCCCGTCTGCCCGCGTCTGTGCGGCGTGAGCTGGGGTGACGCCGCCCAGTCCCTTCTGCATCGGTGTCAGAGGGCTGCTTCTTGGTCACGGTTTTCCAACACTAAATGTCCTGTTGTTTCCTCGTGGTCGTTTTTTTCCCTCACTAATGGAGCTATCT